TACACCTGTAAGGGGAAGGGGTTCTGCTGTAGTCCTTAAGTTTTCTATGCTGAACTTCCTCAACAGAGGGACCCAACATCCGCCTCCTATGAGATAACATTTTCTACCATAAATCATTTTAGTTGGGATTCTTAAAGGATTTCTAGTGGGTGAGTGTTCATTCCCTAGAAGTGCCTGAACCTTTATTCTTTCTTTATCTAGCGGCTTGGGGTCTTTAAGAAATAGCTCATTTTGCTATATCTGATTAAGATCCATGTCCAGCTTCTCCTTTTCTCCATAGTTCATAACCCATGCATTCATTAATTTTGGCTGTGTTTTATAGATTAATTAGAACATTATCAGGAAAGCAGTTATACAGAACCCATAGCCCAGGGAGCTCATGATCCATGAAGCACGTCTTATTTGAGAAGGAAGCATAGCGCGGGCACTCTGCCTGGGACCTCCAGGGAGCTTAGTCCCGTGGGACACGTATCTCCCATCCGCTATTATTGACATAATTGTTCATGTCACATGGACGACACTGGAGTTGGTGTGGCAAGACACATCTTCACAGTGTACAAAAAGATGATCTTACAAGTAGGCGAGGGACCGTGACACCAACAGTAGGAGTTTGGGGTTTTAGTTCATGTTTCTGAGGTCCGCCTGGTTCTCCTTGTTCCTGGATGTGTTATCCACTTTCATTGCTGTGATGTGAACAACTTTAAAGGGTTTATCTTCACTCACCATTGCAGAGGCTTTGCTCTAAGGTCACTTGGTGCCATCACCATGTGCCTGTGGTGAAGCAGAAGCTCACAGGAGAGAGGCTTCGACAGAGCAGGCAGCTAGGACACAGAAACAGTGAGGGAACATAAGAGAAGTGGCCTGAAACATTGGGGAGGCTGGAGACAGAGTATTATTTTTCCAGGGCACAGCACCAGTGACCTACTTTGTCCAACTAGGCCCCACCTCATAATAGTGCCACTATAAAGTGACCCAATCAAGAAATTAACCCACTGAAGGAGTTAGAGCTCTCATGATCCAATCACTGGCTGCACTAGCAGGGGATCGTACCTTAAATATGTGAGCCTTTGGGGGACAGTTTAAATACAAACTATACATGTTACAACTGTAGAATTACCTCCAGTAGACCAGGCCTGTAGTCAGCACCAAAGTCACCATTACAGTATGAACCAGCCACTCCTTGGCTGAGTGAACTTGGCACTCCTTTCCAGACTTCCATAAAATATATTTTCCTGTCTCAGACTGCTCATTTCAAAAAATGAATTACTTCCCAGTCCTTTGCTACAGGGATCTCAAGTTTGTGTTTACTTGTCTCTTTGGCTATACTACTTACTGAACTATCTTTATTCTTCTATCTTGATTACTGCCTTCTAGAGATGATTCTCATATCTTTTTTTCCAAGCCCACATCTCTCTTCTTGAAAGGACCAAGCAGATGCCATAACAGGCTGCTCAGTCTTCTCTCAGAGATCAGGCCTCAATTTCAGTTTCCTGAGACTTGAGCAAGCAATTTCTGGGGGGATGGGGCATAAACAAAAGTCATAGCCCTTGCAGTAGCTCCCTTTCTGCATGAACTTGTACTCTGACTGCTCAAGGTTCAGTCAATTATTTACTTCCTGGGACCCCTCACCAACTTAGAGCTGCATGCATGGGTCAATGTGAATGTGCTAGGCCAGCCAGCCTCCATGGCAGCTCAAGGACAGAGCCTGGCACTTGTCCAGGCCTGCCCAAAAATGGTAACTGTAACCCCCAACTGACCCTAGCCAATTTTAAAAGTTACTAATATGATTGCCACTTGCATAAACCAATCCTGAGTCTGTTCCTATGTAGTCTGTAGACCCCAAGCTCCCCCACCCCCACTTGCTTTAAAAACCCTGCCCCATTGCTACTTGGGGTCTCTCCTGCTCTGCTGCTGCATCAGGCAGATGGAGAGTCCTGAGTTAAATGGTAACAATACAAAGACTCTGCTTTTTCATCAGATTCAGTCTCTTGGTGGTCTTTGGGGGACTCTGGGTACAACATTGTAATTTCTCCAGTCAAATTTATTACCTCAAACCAGGCATCTCTACAGAGAAGCAATTGTACAGCTAATCAACCCTACATACTAGAATCTTCCCCCTTTCCTCTCATTTATTCCTTTTTTTCTTCTGTGCATATGTATTGCTCATGTGTGGTGTGAGTTAGCATGCGTGTGTACATGGAGGCCAGAGTCAACCTCAGGGGCTCCCCACTTTGTTTTCACAGACAGGGTCTCTCATTGGCTTAGAGCTCACTGATTGGACAAGGCCTCTTGGCCAGCAAGCTCCAGGGATCCTCGGTCTCCCCTTCCTGGTGATATGATGGCAAGTAGCTGATCCAGTACCTGCTTTTTTTCTGTTTCCTGGAAATTGAACTCAGGTCCTGGAGATTGTGTGGAAGGCACTTTACCAACTGGTCTGTCTCCCAAGCCCCTCGCTGTCTATGTCTCCACAGTCACCGTCTCAATGACATTTTCGCTAACCTCATCCAAGCCAGAAACTTAGCAATGTTTGGCTGCTTCTTCTTCTCAATCATATTTTCCTGTAACCTGAAAGTTTTGGTTGACCTTACCTCAGTTTTCAAGTCCTCCATGCTCCTCCTATCTGACAAGTTACTAACTCCCAGGGTTATGAGGTTAGGATCTTGTCTGAACTTTTGTAAGAGGCATTAAAAATGGTTTTCTGCCTCTCGTTTCTGCCCTTGCCAAACATTCGCATTACGCCAGCACAGTTTCGCCCAGAGCTTCTTACAGGGCTTGTTATGAAAGCCTCACTCAGTCCTTCCTCCAAACCCCCAGTTTCCTGTCTCACAGAGGCCCCTCATTTCAACACTATGTGAGGATGCTGTCATTATGTCCTTCCTATATGCTTATGGTACTTTTGAAAGCTGTATTTACTTTTAGGTGTATGACTGTCTTTTTACCTGCATGTAAGTATTTTTATCATGTGCTGATCTGGTGCCCAGGGAGGCCAAAAGGAAGCTTCAGATCTCCTGGAAAAAAAGTTACAGACAGTTGTGAGCCACCATGTGGATGTTGGGAATCAAACCTGGCCCTCTGGAAGAGCAACCAGTGCTCACCTGAGCCTTTCTCCAGCCCTTATTTTATTGTTTAACTTGTACGTGTGCATGCATGTGCACACATGTATGCAGGTACCAGCAGAGTCCAGAAGGCATCAGATTCTGGAGTGGGAGTTACAGGTTTGTCAGCAGCCATGTGGGTGCTGAAAACTGAGCCTGGGTTCTTTGCAAAAGCAGTATGTGCTCTTAAGCACCAAACCATTTTTTCAGCAATTGCTAATCTTTCCTCACTGAGGTGATGAGGATTCAACACACACACACACACACACACACACACACACACACACACACACACACACACAATCCCACCACCTATGCATCCTTATCTGAGATGATGATTCAGTCTACATACACACACCATCCCACCACCTATGAGTCTTTTCTTCTTCCTGATACAGCAATGTCATTGCCTTAACTGGACCAGCGTCCACAGCTTACGTTGTAATGGCTTTTTAAATGGTATGTGTATTTGCACCATGTGGACTGACCATGTGTATCAGTGCCATGTGAACTGACCTTGTGTATTTGCACCATGTGGACTGACCTTGTGTATTTGCACCATGTGGACTGACTGTGTGTATTTGCACCATGTGGACTGACCGTGTGTATTTGCACCATGTGGACTGACCTTGTGTATTAGCACCATGTGGACTGACTGTGTGTATTTGCACCATGTGGACTGACTGTGTGTATTTGCACCATGTGGACTGACCTCGTGTATTAGCACCATGTGGACTGACTGTGTGTATTTGCACCATGTGGACTGACCGTGTGTATTAGTGTCTTGTGGACTGACCTCCTGCTCCTATACTGCAAGCTTTACTCTTGGTGTTAACAAGAATCTCCCTCCTCCTGCTGTTTTGTTTTTAATTCATTACTACTCCAACATCAAACTTTCGTGTTCTCTAGAAAATCTGCTCAAACACATACATATTCCATTTATCAAGTGCATCCCCACAACCCCAAAATCTTCTGACCATTCTTACCTGGACTGCTTGGTCCTTCCCCGAGCCGCTATCATTCTCAGATTCACCTTCATCTGTCCCAGGAATTTCCTTCGCTTCTTGTTGCCTCCTTGTCCTGCCCCTCCCAGCCCTTGGCTTGTTTACTCCCTGAGTTGGATGGAACACATCTCAGTTTCCCAGGACAGAGCAAACCGGAAACAGTTCACCATCTCCTGCATCTGAAATGTCTCCCTTTATCCTCACACTCATACAACCTTATCTTAGTCCAACTCAGGCTAGAAGTAATTTTGCCTCAGAATTTTGAAGGCATTATCCAGTGCCTTTTTGCTTTATGCTGCTGCTGGGAACTGTCATGTCACCACAACTCTTGAGGCTTTTAAGAGCATGTTTTTGTGTGGTGATATATTGTGTACCCTAATAAACTTGCCTGAGGATCAGAGGACAGAGCCAGTCACTAGATTAGACATAGAGGTCAGGCAGTGGTGGCACACACCTTTAATCCCAGTACTGGGAAACACACATACTTTTAATCCCAGGAAGTGATGTCTGGGTAGAGAAAGGTATATAAGGTGTGAGGAAACAGGAACTCACTCTCTTTAGACTGAGGATTTTGTAGAGGTTAAGAACTAGTGGCTGGCTGTTCTGCTTCTCTGATCTTTCAGCTTTCACCCTGATATCTGGCTCTGTTTTTTGTTGTTGTTGTTGTTGTTTTTGTTTTTTCTGTTTTTTTTTTTTTTTTTT